ATAGGCACTGATATTTAGTCTGTTTTAGCTGGAATACCCTCCATATCTTCTTTTTTTATGATCAAAAGAATGCAACCTGTACTTTTGTGGATGGAAAGGATGTTTGTGCGTTGCTCCTGACCGGATTTGGTAAGAGTTTGGTTTATCAGTTAACTCCTCTAGTGGTAAAACAAATCAAGAGTACCGGTATGGGTCGCTGCAACTGCTACTGCAATTGATAAAAGCTCAACATGGGAGGCAGGTACCACTTGTTGAATTACCCAATCAGCTCAAAGACAGTCAAACCAAACGGTTCAGACGGTTTTCATAAACCGTTCCATACCTAGTATTTAGATGGATACATTGTAAAATTTAAATTTAACTACACAAATCAGTCTGGCTTATGCCAGGTTAGTTCAAACTCTGTAATATATGACATTAACAGTTTAACAAAAAATAAAAAATAAATAGATTAATTAATCAGCAAAGTATTTACTAGTTCTGACTACTTGGTGCAGCTCTATAAGCTTATGTAACAGCCAGTGAAAGAAAATACTAAAGGTTAATAGTACCAGTACCAGAGGTGCAGGATGATAGAAAAATCATGCAATGTTCATATTATTGGTTAAGTGCTCTGATGACAAAGGCAGTTAATATCACAGCTGCGCTGCTAGAAGCGGCTCTTGTGTTTATATTGTAGCTTAGGGTCTTTCTGCATGGAGTTATATCCATAAACAAAGCTTTATGATGAACTGTCTACCTGTCCTGCAGATGGACATTAGCCACCCTGTGAGGGATTGCATCCCAGTCAATAAAATAAACTGGTTTTCCTTAGATAGAAAACTTTGAATCAATCTGACTGTATAATCTGGTGAATTGTAAAGTGCCTTGAAATGACATGTGCTGTGAATTGGCGCTATAGAAGTAAACTGAATTGAATTGAGCTTGCGAGAATAAACAAATGTAGAAAATGGATGGATGTTGTGATAAATCATCTCTTTCTCATCAGTACCTCTGTCTGCTTGATCTTTAGCATCTTAGACACAGCATCTGTGTCAGGTTTGGCCATCTGCTACAGAAACACCCCATCCAACAAACTGGATGTTACATCGGCATACAGACATGGTTACTGTGTTCCAAACAGTCCTTTGCATACCTACATGGGATGCTGACCTATGCGTATTCTATAGAGGAGCAATAACCATCGCCTACAGAACACATGCAGTAACTTTAGAAACTCGTACATTTTCCACTTCTTGTTACATACTGAATGCAAATAAAGCCAGCAGAACTAATTAATTTGTTTTACCATTGAACATAGAGACTCTGCTTTCATAGATTACTTAACAATTTAACCTTTCCCCCCATTTTCCTTACAAAAAAGCCCAGAGAGCATCGCTAAAAGAATACTTGGAACTTCAATCTTTACATACAATCCTTATCGAAAAAGTTACCAAAGTATCCACGATTGTAATATCACAAAACAAGTGCATGGAATTTTCTATGATCCTGCAAGCTGGACGAATACATTTTAAAGCGATTTATGTCAGCACTTGACGTATCTTTGTGATCATGAAACTAAAAGGCACATCCAGAATATGGAAATTAAAGAGGAGTAACAGGACATGCGTTCATTTCAGCCCACATTATAGCTAATATTACACAGCCTACTAAAAAAACCTGACTATAACTACATAATTTATCACAAAAAGATCAAACCATTGCTATGAGTCTGAGTCTGCCACACATTTCAAGGAAGCTGAGTCTGCAGAACCAGGCCTTCTGATCCTGCGAGTATAAATGTAACACAAGAACTCGTTGTGTTATAATGAGCCTGCCAGTTCCCAAAACAGGATTTATTCAGTTTGGGTTTGCAAGATTAAAAAATTTGAGAACCTTTGTTCCAGACTGACCAACGAACCATGGCTAATCTAATCACACGAATGATCTCCCTGCTCTCACCAGCAGGTCACCAACAAATTTAGGATATTTTTCCTCTTTATTCATCAACGTTTACTTCTGTGATTGATCAGATCTAAAAGGCGTTAAAGAATATACTTGAAATATTCTTAGCGTTGCACATTCCAGTCACAACTACACTCACAAGCAGGCTGGGTGTTTTGAAGGACACTTATGAGGCTTAGGGGCTCCACCAGCTGACATATGGGCTACAGGGTGTGATGTAGCGAGAGCGGCCATGCATCTGCTTTACATTGAGTCACGTATTGCTGGACGAAGACGCTGAGGCCCGCTTCGGCAGCAACCCTAAAAGCAAATATCCTAACAGTCACAGCCAAATGAAAACTGGAACATGGTTAATGTTTCCTTACAAAATGAGGCGGGTTGTTGTGAGCGGTGCACAACTCTGGCAAACGGCTGGTCAGCTTTGGGCCTGATGATTTAATCGGCTCAAGGAGGAGAGGGGACCTTCTGACCCCCCCCTCCCCTTTACACCCAAGGCGAGGTGGGGGTTGGATGACCGCCTAAAACTGTTGCCAACACAACCTTAGATTTAAATTAAAACTAACAGATAACACGCAGCAGAGGAAAGGTTGACTGACTAACTTGTACAGAAATGATTAAACCCTGATTGGTCTCTGCTTCATTGCAGGTATGTTAAAATGAGGAAGTTTGATGCTGTAGTTTGAGCTTCAATCTTCACCATATGCATCTCCTTAAAATCATTTCTGTTTTGGTTTCACAATTTTCCCAAATCCAACTAATCAAAAACCCTGCTAACACATCCAGGGCTTAAGGTTGAAGTTTTAGCTGGACAAAAAAAAGAAAAAAACATAATGATTTAAAGAAAACTTAAATTTTAGCAAAAGCAACTAAATTGATTAATGAATAAAATAAACTCCACTGCCAGACAAATTGTGAAACCACCAAATTGATTTTGCTAGCTTAGCCACGATGAAGCATGGACAGTGAGCAGAGGGACAAATCTTTTGAAGGGCAGGAGTTCTTCCTCCCCTAATCACGGGAGAGTTTGTGGAGCCTAGTCACTTGGTTCAAAGCACTGCCTCAGCGATGCGCAAACCAGGCTGCAGAGGCGGTAGATGCGTATATACATTTAGAGAAAAAAATTTAGACCTCGGCCGTGAGGAAGTGGGGTTGTGTTTGTGCGACAACGGAGGGACATGAGGGCTGGAACGGATCATCAGCCTGCTGTTCAAAATACCATTTTGTATCTTTGTTTTAGTGCAATCGTGCCAAACTTTTTTAGTTACAAAGTGAAGCTTTGTGTACCCATACTCAACCATGATTTAATTTGTGTCCACTTTGATTAGAACTTTATCGATCTCACAATGGAGAAATTCACTTGTGACGTCGGCTCTTGTAAACAAACAGGAGGTGCACAAACAATGAAAAGATGCATGAAGTATATAAAGTGCATCAAGATATATACAGTGAATGGTAAAAATAAAGGAGAAATTTAAGGTTACTTATATATATAGTATCAGGGCTTATACAGGAATGACTAATTCTAATTTAATGCTTTTTAATGCTCTTAGAAATTATTTTAATGCCATCAACAAGTATATCCATCTACCTATCTATCAACCTGCATATATCTACCTATATAGATAAAAACACAGCAAAATCTCGATTCCCTCGTTTTCCAGCCACTTTTGTTTAAATGTTCCTTTTCAAGCTTCTTTTATCATATAAATAGTATATATAATAGTAATATAGTATTAAATAAGGGTATGGATAGGCAAAAGGCGCATATTCAGATCAAGTAATCTGTTTCTGGGGTGTCTACAAGTCTAGTAACACTGAAAAAAAAAATCGAAATCTAGATAAGTAATTTTTCTTGAAATAAGTGCATTTGTTCTTGGATTGAGAAGGGAAGAAAGATGTTTTGCCAATGTAACAAGAACATTTAAAATCAGAAAACACAATTGCATTTTCTTCTTTCAAGTGCATATTATCTAAATATCTTATTCTAAGAGTAAAAATACTCATTCCATTGGCAAAATATGTAATTAACCTACTCAAATTAAGGATAAATACACTTAATTTAAGAAATTTCTAGATTGTTTTTTTTCCAGTTAAGGCAATTCCAATCCATCTATGCTTCCTAACATGTTGCCATTTCAAATTATAGTTGGTAACACAGGCAGTCCTATCAACCCTAGCCAAGCTTATCTACAGTAGTTTAAGGGAAATACAGGGAACATGTAAAGAAGGCTATGACAGGAAGTATTCAGTCTCATCTTCCACAATTTGTCCTTTCAGTCGCCCCTACCCAGGTCTCAGCATCCACACACGCCATTTAGCCTAAACCTTTTATTTAAAACCCTTCCCTGGATTGTCAGTTACTGCAGCCCTATTACTGCTACACACTGCTAACACCAACATATATAACCGTGATATAAATTTGACCATAAATACAACTGTATTGTTGAGTGCAATGACAATTCATACAAACAGATTCAAAGTATCCTCTTAAACGCAGTTACGTACCTGCTAACTAGCTAGCTGGTTAAAGAAAAAATCTGATAAATCAGTGCCGATTTTACTTATCGCATCAAAACGCATTTCTGACATTAAAATATAAAATAATGCTAAATAAAGCAATGATTTACAGAAACATACGGTCTGATTATAATGCAGACAACTGTCAACTTTGTGGAATATTGCTGTTAGCTACTGCAGACACAGTAGGAGACGCCGAAAAGCTAGCCGCTAGCTACATGGATTTAATTTATATCACTAAAACACACATAAACAAAGCTGATTTGTAGAAAATTAACTCTTCTATTCGAAATTAATTTCAACAGCTCTCACACAAAGTACATATTTAAAGCCTCGTGATGAATAGTGTAAATACGCCGGTTTATCAATGGAGTTTGGCGTTGCTTTGCTCCACTCACGTACTTTACCACGGAGTTAACCACGCTGCCCACAAACACCACCTGACTTTATCTAAACCCCCTCAGTGTCCGCCACTGGTAGCTCTATTTCCCCCCAGCAGAGGCCCCACAGGGCCGCGGCCTCCCGTACAGCTCTCATACCTCTGTGGGCTGACTGATCTCGAACAGGTCGAGCCGGTTGGCGTTCCAGTGGTTGATGATGTCGGCCAGTTTCCTCCTCTCCTCCTCCCTGCTTCCCGACATTGTGGACAGTGTTTCGGAGCTTCAGTCCGCGTCCTTCCCGCTGAATAAGAACTTTCCGAGAAACGTTAGTCTACGGGAGAACAGACCGCCAGCGAAACGAGCCGTTCACGTCGACCTCTTTGAATTTTTTATGTTCCTTTTAATAGCCGGTACTTTGAGCGGTTCCGTCTCCCAGCTCATCGAGCCACCGACCTGCTGTCTGATCGGTTTCTGCTTGGAGGTGCACCTCTGCGCGCTCACGGGGACTTCTGAGAACGCGCACAAGCTGTTAACTGTTTAACGTCCAATAGTTCTGATTCATGAGGGCGCTTCTTGGGATGTTTATAGGGTTAACAGACGGGCACGTGAGAAACTAAACAGGATTACGTCATGGGGTATTAATTAAAGAGATATTTCTCTTTAGCAATTACATTTAATTTTACCGTATTGCGACCTGTTTCTTAAATGCGTAAGAGGATTAGGGCCACTGAAAAAAAAAAGTTAACTGATTTTTAAATTTCATTTCAGTTTAATATTGCAAAAAAAGCAGAATTCTGATTTTAATCTCAGAATTCTGACTTTAATCTCAGAATTCTGTATTTTTTCTTCGGAATTCTGGGATTAAAATCAAAATTATTTTTTGACTGAAAATAAAATATAAAAATCAGTAAACTTTTTTATTTTATTAATGGCCCTAATCCTATTCCGTACTTAAAATACAAATGCATATTAAACATATAAAAGGTATTAGGTTTGCAATGTGACGAAAGAGCTTCACAATAATGACATGAAGGAACAGTTATATTTAAGTTACTTAATAATTTTTGTTAAATCTGTCAAACCCACTTTCAGAATACATTTCTTATTCAATTGCAAAAAAACACACACACAAAAACAGACACTTTCTGTTATACATTGCAAGAGCAGAGAGAACATAAAATCTTTTTTTTTTGTGCAAATTTATCAAAAACTAAATAACTAATAAGGAAAACATCAATATATATAAATCATAACAAATAAAATGAGGAAAAAAAACTAACATAAACCTCTTCATATTAATACTGAATAAATATGTTTTGTTTAAACACTTACATTAATTGACAAATATTGCTTTTTAAGGGAATTCCACAGTTTTACCCCCAATAACTGAGTGATACAACTATTTAAGTGTTGTACGTGCAAGTTGATGTTTGAAATTATATTTTCTGCCACTCAACTCTTTTTCTAAATGGAAATAATTTTTCTGGTAAATGTTGACATATTGCTTTAAACATAATTAATGGTGTTTGGCACTCTTTTAGCTTTAATATTCTGGATTTGATAAACAATTAACTCTTAAATGTTTGATGACCAACTTTGATTCTTCTTACCTTTGATCCTTCTCTCTTCTGTAATATAAATAAAAGTTTTATATTTGACTCATGTGTATTCTCCCAGACTTCTACACAGTAGTTAAAATATGGCACAATGAGTGAACTGTATAGTATTTTCATTTTTATATAATCCAAACTATAGATTCTTCAGCTTTCTATTTTTTTAGCTGATGTTTTCTACTTAACATCAAGGAACTGCAAGCCTCCACATGCAGATTCCTCTGCTGATATTATGTAAGGCAAAAAAACATTAGTGTGACTGAATACAGGGGGAGGTGATGTGTGATTCAACGTTTTTAATATTGCTTGGCACAGAAAGAAATAAGTTGTTCAAGTAAGCCAACTTATGTGAGATCATTAATCATCTTTGGAGAAGATTCTTTTCAAAATAAGTGCAAAAATCTGCCAATTAGACAGTTGTACTAGGTAAGACTTCTTGAAATCTTTTAAAAAGAAGGATATCAATCTTAAAACATGAAGAAAAATACTTCTTGACTAGATCTAAGTCTGCAAGACTTTGTTACATGGAAACCTTTTGCAGTGTTGTCCCTTTTGTCAGCACTTTTCATCATAAAAAAGAAATTATTTAGGCATTACACAGCAAAAGCTGATCTAAAATAGTAATTTTCCCTTAAACTAAGCAGGTAAATAAAGCCATTTACCAAAAGAAATGCACATTTTTGCCATTAAATATTTGATAATTACATACTATCCACGTAAAATAAGATAATGGAGTATTTATACATATATTAAATGTAAAAAACCTTTTCTATCAGCCAACTGTCTTACATACCTCCTGAAATCAAGGAAAACTAAAAATTGACTCATATTTCTGCAGCGTATGCTTTCAGTACAGGGGCCAAGACCAGTCGGCCCCGTTGGCCCTTGTCCAGAAATGCCAATGGCTGAATATAAACAGATACAAGGGAGGTGGGATTTTAATATCAGTAAAAGTTATGAAAATCAACGTTTATTATCTTTGTCACCATCTGCTTCAAAAATGTGTACTTCCTAGCCTGAAAGTGTGACTGAAAAATACAGGAACGTTTCATATAATTTATAATTAAACCAACAAAACTGTTTAAATTAATCACCACCTTTACAGCAGCAGAAAAGCACGATGAATGGTTTTTGTCATCATATTGCATCCTCTCTATAATTAGTGCTAGCATGCAGGTGCTAAATGCCACAAACAGCTGCCGAACCCCTCAGCTCCAGAGTAGGGAGCGTTTTTAAACATTTTAGCTGTATATCAGTCTGAACAGGTTATGAACAGATTTGTTTATGGAAAAAAAAATAAAGTAAAACATTGAGACCGAGCTTGTCAGAAAAGTATGCTGCATACGATTTGGGTTGGATGTCCCTGCAGAACTTTCCTCTCAGTTGAAATCTGCCTCGTAAAAAGCATTTGCTTCTTTTGTCAGAGTGTATTTGCAAAGGAAAGATTGTCATACTTTTTATGACAGAGTGCTGCATTGATGTAAAATAGCAGCTCTTTATTAACGCAGCATTGTCAGTGTCTCTGAAAGGTCACCAAATATCAGGCAGATCCCTGTGAAATGTCAGAAACGCAGAGCTGATGATATCCTTAAAAATATCTGTGATACAGCAGAGGGGTTGGTCATGTGGACCTCCCACCTTTTTCCCAGACGGGGAGTAGAACAGCAGCAGCAGCAGCTTCCTATAAATACATTAGTCACCGAGCCAGAATTTGAGGATCTGTGGGTGTTGGTGGTGTGATGGAGGAGCGCTGCTCTTAACGTCATCTGTGAGCAATGAATGACAATGACTTTTATCAAAACTGTTGATACGGGTAAACACCCAAATGGAAACAGGAAACTAATCTTTTTTTATCTTAGCAAATACTTCTTATCTTAGTTGTTTAATGTAGGCGTCTTACAAACAAAACCAGGAATGAAATGCATAAAAACAGAGTTTGAATCTCAGTGATAAGTATATTCACTTTCCTAAAGTACAGCTAATCTGCTTCCTCTTATGTTACTGTTATCTTCACATAGTTTACTCAGTAGCAATGGTATCATTACCTTTATTATAAAACAATTACAATGTTTTTGGAGTTAATGACCTTTTCCCTACAGCAACACTAAAATGACCCCATTATTATTAGCTTCATTTGAGATATCTTAAATTATTTGAAAGTCAATATATATCACTAAATGCATGCGTGGAGAGGGCTGGATTCATCTGTGAATGAGTCATGTGACACAGAGTGCTGCTTTATGACAGTCTGAGTTCCCCTAAAAGTCGTTGTTAGGCAACAAAACAGATATGACACATATCAGATAAAGCATATTTTTGCTTTTCTTATGTAGGATATGTCAGGATAAAGCAGGAGATGGGCAAACAATTCGGGATACAGTTTGAATGTGTTCCTGGTTTTGAAGAAAGTGGGCAACCAGTTAAATGTCTTGATTTAATCGTCCCATGACTTTTTAACTTCTATCTAAACTCGTTTTAACTTGTTTATATTTTCCTTGCAAAGAAAAATAGTTACATATATTATTGGGTATTACTTTCAATAGTGTCTGATTTGAATGAATGAATGAATAATGAATGATTAGGAATTTATTTCAGACAGACAATTTCAGAAAAATACAATAAATGAATCAACCAAATACACACAAAAAAAAGAGTAGTTAACATCAACCATCTAAACCTGAATTTCCAAACTAACTAAATTCACCTGAAGATAAATAGAAACAAAACCCTCCACCAAATACCTGTCGGTATATACAGCCAGAGAAATTATTTCAATTAATGTAAATTATCTAAAAAGGGCTATGAAGAAATAAAAGTTCTTATTCATACAGAGTAACCTTCCTGTTAAACTTTTTTCTTTTTTCAATATTCTCACACACATATACATATATATACATATGTATATATATATATATATATATATATATATACATATATATATATATAAAATACTATATATATATATATGTATATATATATATATATATATATATATATATATATATCTTGTTAAGCTAAATAACTGTATATATATATATATATATATATATATATATATATATCCACATTATATAATCCACATTAACACCCTTGTACATTGGCACGCAGATTCTTTCTCTACTACTTTTGAGAAGAACGTTTGTGACATCAGTAGCAGAAGTGAAAAACCACAAAAGGAAACCAACTTTACCAGATAGACTCCACCACTTCCTTTATCGATGTGATGTTAACTGCTAACTCTCTCACACACACACACACACACACACACACACACACACACACACACACACACACACACACACACACACACACACACACACACACACACACACACACACACACACACACACACACACACACACACACCAGCACAAATGTGTCATAGAGGTTGCAGTGATTGTTTAAAATCTACACCCTAAACCAGTTCTGCTTCACTTGACAGTATCTGGCAGAGTGACTCCATCCAAGGTCTGATATATGCTCAGAGATTGCCTGTTTTGATCTCGCTCTGTTTTGAATTTTTTCACAGTCAGAGATAAGCGAAGCACCCTGCTTTGCTTTCATGCTCTACTCCTCCCAAACACTTATCAATTATTGTGTCTCTGACTGCGAACATAATAACGTTCTGCTATCTGTTGTTAAGCTAAATAATGATTTCCTTACTTTTAATCACCATTTGCAACTCAAAACAAGTTCCACTCAAAATGTTTAACAATAAAAAAAAAAAAAAGAGCAAACGATAAAGCTAGACTACTGATAATCATTTAAGAAAAGGTTCTGAATAAATAGATAATGAACAGTAGTTATTTGGATAAACAATATATTGAAGAGGGAGTGAGAAAAACGAGGAAAAAAGGGTTGAGTTTTTTCTTCCGATATTAATCTGCAATCTAATAAAA